CTGCAGTGGGATTTTTCACAACTCCTTGGTTTGCTTCTTTGACCATAACCTTAAGTCGTGTAATGGCACGTCAGCGTCTTCTGTTCACACTTAAGGTACTTTTACCTTTTGGATGGATTGATTTCCCTTCCTTTTTCTTTTTCTCTTTTCTTTCTCTCTCTTTCCCTCCCTCCCTCTCTCCCTTCCTTCCTTCCTTTCTCTTTTCCTTCCCCTTCCCTTCCTTTTCCTTTTTCCTGTAAGAAGCTAAGAGGGGTGATGGTGCAAAGACCCCAAGCTCTAAGTCTCTTGGACTCTGGTATTAGGAATGCACCAGCTTTAGCTCAGCAGACACTTACAAGCACTTGCTGTACACCAGGCCTTTTGGAGTCATTTGCACTGAAAGAAGAGTGGGATCCTTTCTGTCTCCTCAAACAGTAACTCCTTTCCTCATAGGAAAATGAAGCCACTGGAGTAGACAGCTCTGAACGTACCATCTATCTCTGCACCTCTCATTGTGGAGCGTTTGGATCAGGGATGTGTGTGTGTGTGTGTGTGTGTGTGTGTGAGAGAGAGAGAGAGAGAGAGAGAGAGAGACCTAGACCTTTTGGTCCTGCATTGTTATGTATATGCGTGTGATGTTGTTTTACCCACTTAAAAAATAATGTATGTGTCATCTAATCAGTACAGTAGGTTCTTGGGATTCACAGATAAGAAGCCCTTCAGCAGTAATGTCGCCTGCTAGTCTTCACTGTGAGGACACTGTGCTCAGGACACACAGTCGGTGTCCGGGCTGGAAGGTCTCCTTGCATCTCTGATTGGTTTTTTTCTTCCTCGTACCGGGGATCAAACTCAGGACCTTGAGCTTGTGCTTGTGAGGAGGCGGTGGAAGCACTGAGGCAAATCTCTGGCTCCCCCTTCTCTGACTTCTAGCCCAGCATTTTCCTCTTCTAGTTGACTTTTAAAAATGTTCTGATTCTAAATACTTTGGTTTCATACAAAAATCTGCAAATGTTTCACCAGTGAGAGTAGTAGGTGCAGGAGAGTTTTGTAGTTTAGGTCGTTGACTGTTGATCAGATAGATACTTCCTGTATACTGTGGACTGCTTTGTCCTTTTTGGACCATAGAAAGTATTTGATTTGACCTTATTTTTGTCCTTAAAGAGTGAGAACTTTGTTGAATTTATGAAAAACTTTGTTGAATTATGAAAACCAACTTTCCTTTTTCTTTTGCTCTTGTGTCCTACAGCCCCCATAAAAAGCATGGTAGTATATACCTGTAGTCCTAGCTACTCAGGAGGCTGAGGCAGGAAGATCACTTGAACTCAGTAATTTGAGGCCATCGTGGGCAACAATTGTGAGACTCTGTCTCAAACAAAAAAATTTGAATTATGTTTTGCTTACTACTATTAGACATTTTTTCCAGTATATTCCAGACATATCTGTTAAGGATGTAGAGTAAATTTTATCTACCCACGAGTGTGTTGCCCATGGGGTAAGGATTGAGATGACAAGCCATCTAATGTACTTTAGGGCAGTGATTCCCAACCAGGCCAGTTTTGTTCTCCACAGGGACAATGTCTGAAAACATTTGTCATTGTTATGTGGGTGGGGTGGGGGTGAGTGCTCTTGGCATGCTGGCGAGCTGAGGCCAGAGGTGCTGGTCAGCCTTCTACCACTCAGATCTGCCCGGCACCAAGAATCAACTCCAAAATGGCAGTGGTGTCAGGGTTGAGAACCCAGAGTACACTGTGAACAGTGCTGTGTCCCAGGCAGCTGCTGTGTTTTCCGTGCCCGGCACTGTTCTGCAGCGGAGGTGTGTGTGTTTCGTGTAGCTCCTCATTTGGATTGGTGCTCTGGGGAAGCTGAGGTGAATCCTGAGGGCAGGCAGATGAAGGAGAGGATGACAGGAAGAGAGCAGAGAGCGGTACTGCAGCACCCGGAGGTGTCAGGGGCATCTGGAGACTGCAAGTTGTTCACTTTGGCTAAAGCTAAAAGCTGAGGGAGAAAGTAGGAAGATGAGGGAGGAAGTAACTCAGGAAGAGGCTGCCACAGATGGCCTGGTATGCCACTCTAAGGCACTGGCATTATTCCAAGACTGGGAAACCAAGACGGGCTTCTAAGGGGCCAGGCAGTCACATGTTCACGTATGTCTTTTGGAAGGGTAACTTCAACGGTTTTAAGGAAAACTGGTTGGAAAGACTCAGCTGAAGATAAGAAGTCGATTAAGAGGCTGGTGCAGTCATTCCGGTGGGAATTGAGCCGGAGAAGTGGAAGGAGGGATGGAAAAATAGAGGCATTTCAGAGATACTAAGGAAATTGAATTGATTGTTGAGGCACCAAGGGAAGAGAGAAAAGTCACAGGGTTGGGTCGCTGATGACTGACCCAGCAAGTCTGTTTGGTTGGCAGTTGCTGCTCCTAGCCTGGGGCCCAGTGTCTTTGGGGGATGCTTGTCCTTCCCATCAGCTCTGGATGTGACTCTTAGGGTCTGAAAGTGAAGCCATCTGACCCAAACACACCCAACACACAAAGTGGGGAAGGGAAAAGGGCCAGTGCAATAAAAACTGCTTATTGGCAGAAGTGAACACTTTGCCAGTTAGAGATGAACAGCGAGAGGTGCTTCTCAGAAGCAGCGGGGCAGGCATCATCTGGGGGAGAGAGAGAATCCAGGGAGAAAGTTCAGGAAAGGAGGTTCAGAGAGGTTGGAAAAGTGTTGGTGGACTTCAGCATCAAAAGGGGGAGACTTGGGGCTGGGGATTTAGCTCAGTGGTTCCGCCGCCTGCCTTGCAAGAGCAAGGACCTGAGTTCGATCCCCGGTACCAACAACAACAACAACAACAAAAAATGGAGGAGACTCTTAAGAGCTGTTTCACAAGAAGCTGGGGAAAGGAAATAGGTTGAGGGTTTTGGAATTTCCGGTTGTCACTGGAAAAAACCCAGTTGCGAGGGTGAATCTGAGTGAATTTATAGTGAAGGGCGAGCATGGTTTCTTTGTCATTGTTCTCCCGTGGACTTCCGAGCCTCCTGTGTTCTGTGATTGTCTCAGTGGAGCAGGAGGCAGGAGAGTTTCTGGTTGCAGTCTGCTTCCCTGGTTCATCTCTTGGCAGATGAAAGGCCAGGAGCCAGAGGAGCCTTGTATGAAAGTGGTTACCTGTAATTTTTCCTTGTAAAAGTAGCCTTGTTCATCAAAGGTAACAGTTGTGCTCTCAGCGAAGATGAGTCAGTCAGAATGCCTTGACCAGACAGGTGATCCTTGCTAAAACAGAACTGGTATGAGGATCTGGATCTGGGAGAGACTGGGTGGGGAAGATGATGCGGGAGGAGTGCACAGTCCCCTGTGGTGATCTGGTGTGGTCCTCAGACTTCCCGTAATGTCACTGAGTTATGTGCCTGATACAGAGCTATATGGTAAGCTCCATCCAGGTATTTCTTTGGTATTTTGTTGCCAGGACTTTGTTACACTCTTAACATTTATTGAGGTCCCCAGAGAGTTTTATATGAATTATGTTGATGAGTATTTACTGTTTTTGAAACGAAAACTAGTGAAATTTCAAATACGAATTCACTAAAGATACCAATAACAAATGTATTAGTTCTTAAATAGCATCCTTTTTTTTTTTTGGTACCGGGGATTGAACTCGGGTCCTTGTGCTTGCCAGGCAGGCCACCGAACCGCTGAGCTAAATTTCCGGCCCTAAATGACTATATTTTTTAAAAACTAGTGAGAAAAATGTCATCACTCTGCATTTTTTTCGATCTAGTGTCTGGCTTAATCGAAGGCAATTAGATTTTCACTTCTGCCTCTATCTTTGGTCTGTTATTTGAAATATTATACTATAGGTCATGAGAAACTGAGAATTAAAAAGAAATTAAATCTTAAAAGCAGTAAGAAAATAAGTTTGAGTTCATGGATTGCTGAGAAGATTTCAGTAACCTCCTGGGGTACCTGAACTGTACTTTGAGGACCACTGGACTGAGCTGTACATTTCCTGAGGGCAGAGACCACTGTCTTGGTTTCTTTTCTTCTTCTCTGCAGGGCCTGGTAAAATGTTCCTTAGGGTTCCTCCTTGGGTGTATGTACTGGTTCAACTTTCCCCTAGACAGTTCCCCAGGAAGGAAGCATCCTGTGAATCAGGCTGCAGCTTCTTGTCACGCTGCCTTCCTCTCAGTTAGTCATGGTGTAAGAATCCCTCTGCTGCCTCGGACTCAGCTGCCATGGAGGCGCCGCTGGGCTCTTTTTACTGTGCCCCATGACATTCTAGACTGGTTACAAATCAAGATAAGTAGTTTAGGAAAGAAACTCTTTTTTTCAGTACAATGAATTCTAGGAAGTCTTGGAGTTTGCTGGGAGAAAGCTAGAATTGTTTCCTGGAAACAGAGTGGAAAGTCTGCAGAAGTTTTGGGGGGCCTGTGGGGTACATAGGAGGATCCACACTACCACTTGGGGAGCAGATGCTGTCTTCCCGTTCCCGTTTTCTGCACAAAGGCAGTGGCAGGTGCCCGGAGAGTGAGTGGAAAGCAAGCAATAATCAGGTCTCCAAGGTGACAGCATTTTCCTTTGCCAAATGTTAGGTTAATGTTCTCTAGACCGATTGAGGCTATACACAAACTTAGGCTGAAAATACACATACTGTTAGTATTACATTTTCAGACTTTTGGTGAAACATAGGTAAACAGTATGGAAAGGTATCTTCAAAATTACATGGTGAATTTTGTATAAAACGATGAGGTCTACAAATGACAGCATCTACATGGAAACAAATTTATTTACCAGCTACATCAGGAAACATCTTCGTAAATGTAGTAGCATAAAAACACTGACTTCTGCATTTGATTTGCAAAGGAATGGAAACAAAAGCATTTTAGAAATGGCTTGATTGTTATCTGCTTTATTGAACGCATAGTGGCATTTTTCTAACTGCTTGTCTCTTGGGCACATAAGTCATCATGGTACATTCTTACTAACAGTCTTTGAACTTCTTTCTCTGTCCTTTTCTGCCGGGCCCTGTATTGCTGCCTTTAGCGCTTCAGCATGGAAGGGATCTCAAATGTCATTCAGAATGGCCTCCGCCACACCTTTGGAAACTCAGGTGGAGAGAAACAGGTGCTCAGTTATCCTTATTTTCCTCATTGTCTGCTTTTTGCATTTTATGTGTAGGTAAAGATCCTGAAAGCTGACAGTTTTGCTAATTTACTAAGACCATTGCTTGAAAGAGAGAAATGAAAGTTTATTATCTGTATAGCCTTAATGGTGAACAATTTCCCTTGGGGGAAAAAAGCATTTTCCAAATTGGACAGTAGACAAAATACATTCTTAAGACATATTTCAGAGCTCCATTTCTCGCTCCTACCTTTAAACAAGTAGATATTAACATATTGACAAATTGCATGTGTAGAAAAATCTATTTGTGATGTTAACTAGAATATGCTACTCTTAATTCTAAAAATCTAGGAAACAGGATCTCATTTTAGGGGGAAGAAAGCTAGATGTTGGTGTCTCTGACACTGCAGAGTTTTAGGTAAAAAATATGTAAAGAGTATATTTTAACCCCCATTAAGTGAATTTTTTTTTCTTTTTTGAGGTACTGGGGAATTGAATCTGTGGTGGCCTTCACACTGAGCCACGTTCTCAGCCATTTAAAAATTTTTGGAGACAGGGTCTCACTAAGTCACTAAGCTTCCCAGACTGAGTTTGAACTTTGGATCTTCCTGCCTCAGCCTCTCAGCATGCTGGGATTACAGGCGTGTACCACCGTGCCCGGCTTATTTCATGTGTTATTAAAGCACTTTATATAGTCAGCCAAGTCAATTGCCTACCAAACAAGCGTGAGACATCATTTATAACCTTATACATGTATGACTGTAGAGTCAGATGTGCAGCAATTTGCTTTTATTTCCTTTTGTGTGCAGTGGTTAAAGGGCTGTCACGAACGTGGGAAACACATCTGCACAATAAGTGTGCTTAAAATTACCTTTCACCATTTGAAATTTTAACTTCAACACAAAAACAAACAAACAAAAAGACCAAAAACAAGACTCTCTCAGGTTTGTTCCGAGGTGAAGATTAAGAAGGGGTACAGATGGTAGACAGTTGAATCAGATTCCCTAGAGCTTCAGCTGAGGTTGTGTGTGTCACTGAAGAAGGGAGCAGTCGAAATGAAGGAAGGCAGGTCAACTGATCTTCATAGTTTACAAGGGGTCCACGAAGGGATGGGTGCATTTTTATTTTTAATCTGGTGCCACTCTCCTCTCACCCCACAAGATGGAAAAATGACTTCTAAACTGACCCCGCGCAGGGCAGTGGGCAGGCAGTGCCGAGAGCATGGCTGCTGGCCCTGGTGCCAAGGTGCTGATTCCTGGCGCTTCTCCAGGGTGCCTGATGCCTGTTGTGAGCAGAGCCCCTGCAGGGCGTGTTTCCGGATTGAGGGGCGTTCTTACAAAGAAATCTAGCTGGTTTTACACTTGGGCCTTGCCTTGGAGAAGTCTGTTCCAGAAACAGTGGAACACTTAAGTTCCTTAGAGGGTGGACAGTGTACTTTTCCGGACCTAGGGGTCCAGTTATTGTTAAGCAGTCCCCCTTAGTGGTTCTTCAGTCATGACCGGGTGAGGTCGCTCAGTGGGGATTAGGAGTAGAGCTGAGGGGCAGTGCAAGGGACTGACAACGGCCTGAGCGGAGGGGATTCCAAGGACACCACTAGCTTTCTCCGGCAGCATGTGCACATGGCACAGAACTGTGTTTTGTGGCGAGGTGCCGAGAAGAGGAGAATCTGGACCATACCTTTTGGATCATGCTTTCTTGTGGTGTAGTTGCAGGACAGCTCTGTTGCTTGTGAACCTTTACAGATAATTAACTAGGTGGTTTTTCTCAATTCGAATCACTAACTTTTACTGTTCGTGCCTCCTGTAGGCTATTTTCTTCTTTACTCATTTCTTTTAATCTCTAAAAACACTTATAAATATTACACAGTCATTTAAAATAATAACACTCATACACTTCTGAAACTATTTAATAAGTCTGTCTTTGTTAGCTCTGGAGGAACCTGTGATAAATGTTGTAAAGTTGTCATGTTATCCATATTGTCTATTTTATCAGCCAGAATAAGAGTGGTTTTGAAAGAACATTATTTAGCTGTTGGAAATTGTGTGTGTTTTTAGTTTAATTACAATTTTTTAAAAAATGTGTTGAAAAAAATGTGTTGAAAAACCTGCAAGGAGAATGTTAGATAAGACTTTAAAAATGGATGTATTGAGCAAATCATCGTGAGACCTAGTCCTGTGAAATTTTCAATGATGAAATGCAAAAAAGTTGTTTCTTATGTTGACATGAAATTAATGTGAAGCAGATAGAGGTGGGCAAAACAGTGTGTTCCAGCTAAGTGAGATCTACACCTGTGTTTTCATTACCTGAGTAGCCCATGTTTTGTGTTATAAAGTAGACCTTTTAGTCATTGTATAGATTTGATGTAGTTGATTCAGATTTAAATGATGCTTTTTTTTTTTTAACTTGGCAGTATCTGACAACAGTCATTCCTTATGAGAAAAAAAATGGACCACCGTCTGTTGAAGACCTTCAAATATTAACAAAAAGTGAGCAAAGACAAAATTCATCTGTTACCTGATTTGCTTTTGCAGATTGTTAAATCCTTGGTTCTAGCTACCTGATCTTGTTTGGTTTAGTCGTACTGGATAGTAAATGACGGACGCCATTATTTATTCTTTTGAGAACAAGACAAAAAAGGACCATTAACGTTAAATGCAACACTACTCTCCTGTCCGATTTGTCATTTTTCTGTTTTATTTTTTTCTGAAATATTTATGAGATAAAGTTTTGGGAAAAAAAAATGTAACTTGACTCTCCAGTACAATGTTTGTGGCTCTCATGCAGCTGTGACTGTCCGTAACCGATGAGGAGAGGTTTAGGGTAGGTGCTGTCCTTCTCATGAATGTAGAACCCCAGGTGGTCCTCACAGGTAGAATGTGAATTGGCAGTGACATTTTAAGACCATGCGCTCATCCAGCAAATGCTTGGTGAAGGCCTTCTCTGGGGCATTTTCTCAGCACTTGGGATACTTCAGTGAGTAAAGTAAAGATACTTCACTTTTCAGGGGCCTGCATTTGAATATAATTCATGAGATTTAAATGTACATGTTGGGTATATCTTAGGAGAGTGGTGAGTGAGCCTGAAATTCTGGTTCTGGCTCTGCTGTTTTCAGGGATACCCTTAGACCCCCTCTCTTGGTCACACTGAAAGGCTAGTATAAAAAAGAATTGCTCAGTTTACCTCACAGTAACTCAATTATGCAGTCTTCAGTCAGCCCTTATAATGAAGGGATTGAATCTGCTAATCAGCTAAGTTCTTTCTAATTGTAAATATTTAAGATAATGGTTAAATAGGAGGGACCCAAATGAAAAACATCATGTGGATGGATATTTATGATATTATTTTGGAAACTTAGACATGGAGGAATGGGCAGGGAAGAATAAGAAGTGAGGACAGGATTGTACTCACTGCCCACTTGCCCGCTAACATTAAACATTTATTCTTTCCTCTGGTGAACAATACTGGGAAAACATTTCATATTTACATATTGATAAGTCAAGGGACACCAACCAGGCCAAGTTAAAGAGTGAAGCCAGCCCCTTAATTTTCAGGAAGAGCTGGCAAATTTCTGAGTGTCCAAGATCACACGGGGGTTAATTACTGGGCTCGGGATCTCTTAATTCATCAGCAGTTCTGCTTTTAATAATGCTGGCTTTTGGTAGATGACTTTACATAGATGTTAAAACATTCTAAAAGATGACTGCAAATGAAAGTACTGAACATCACAGCCCTCCATGAAAGGGAATAAAGTCTTGCTTAGAGGCTAGGAATTGCGAAGAGGCCTCAGCCTCTCAGGTCAAGGACAAGCCAAAGCCATTGCAGTGCCATCATCACAATGCCCGGCCGATTCTTACATGCTGTCTCACAGACTGACACACTTTGGAATGTTTGGAGTCTCTGGGTGAGGAGATGACCTAGTTAAGACTGTTAAGGTATTGTTGTGAAGACGAGAGATAGAAGGATGACCTTCACTCTGAAAGTGGGGGAAAAAAAAAGGTTATCTCTTGAAAACTTTGGAAAGGACCTAAGCCTCTTTTTGCCACCACCTGTAGATGAAGACCAAGGAAATGCCCTGTGCAGACAACAGGTTTCACGGACATGTAGCCTTCCTTGTAAAAGCTCTTCCATGCAGTGAAATTAGTAATGAGAATTACATTAGAGGTGTTCATTGTGATTAATACTAGACACTCTTGAGTGTCCTTTACATGTGTGTAACTTAATCTTCATAACACGCCTTTGAGGTAGATCTAGTTGTTATTCTCATTTTATAGACGAGGAAGTTGATGCACAGAACAGTCAGGTCACGGAGGTTAGGGACTGACAGAGCCAGGGTCTAAGCCCGGGAAAGCTGCCTTGATAGTTACACTGTGCTGCTTGTCATATATCTCGGCGAAGTAGTGAGGTATTTTCACCAAGATATCCTGGAGGGCGTCTGAATTGGCAATCACTGTACAATACTTGTTTGGTTTGTGTGTGCTCGCTGTAACTAACAAGTAACTAAATACTTGCTAGTGAGTTTCTCTCTACCCGAATAGTCTAGATTAAAAACCTCAAACCAAAACATTACAGTGAGTGGTTGCTTTTTCCTGTTTTGGTCTTTACTGAGAAGACAGAGTTGTTAGGCTGGGGTGTAGCTCAGCAGGTCTGCCTAGCTTCCATCTGTAGGACGAACACAACAACAACACAATACAAGTTTAGTCTCCCTTTAGGATGAGGCGAGTCTGCCAAGTTCTCGCCCAGTAGAGAAGGAGAAGATAGCCTGGTAGATGTCGGTGCTGGGTCTGGTCTTCAGTGGCCTCTCACATTTCTAAGAAGCTGACACATGTGTTCCTTGCAGAGTGTAGGAAACTCTCCAGTTTCTCCAGGTCACAAGATGAACAGTGCTGAGGCCCTCCTGATGCACATCAAGTGCACTGTAGTAATTCACTGTCTAGTTTTTCTTAAGACAAAGTGGAGGTGCCACGTGAATAGTCCAGTTCCCTTTTTCTGCCTGCAGTGTTTGGACATTTTAAATCAGGGAAGTAACTCTCAGGAGTTCCTCAATTTCTAAAATTCTTGAGCCTTTACTTTTGTATTCGACGTACCCAGAAAACCTTTAATTTGTATGATTCATTTACTTATAGTCAGGCTCCGTATTTTAAATGAAGTATCACTTCTGATCTGAGTTTTAAATTGTTACCTTTCTCTTTCTCCTTTATTTTGCAGTTCTTCTTGCCATGAAGGATGATAGTGAGAAAGTTCCGAGTTTGTTAACTGACTATATCCTGAAAGGTGAGTTTTAAAGTGGTGTGTGTACAGTGTTTAGGAGTTTCAATTAAATGCATCATCTTGCTAAAATTCAAAGTAATTTCCAAATACACAATTTTATTCATCTTATTGTATGGAGGGAAAATGAATAGGTGGCTGGCGTATGCTATGAACATTATCGTTTAACTTTTACCTGATGTCCTAGACCGGAAATACTTTCCACAGCTGAATTAGGAACATTGAGGGAGGCAGTAAAAGACAACTAATAGAACATTGGCATGGTTATGTGGGTATCGGTGTAGACATGGTGACCCTGGGCGGCTTGGGGACAGCAAAAAAGGAAGGACAGATCATCAGCGGGGACAGAAGGAGGAAACAGTCAAACCATCCACCTGTTTCAAGGGGGACACAGAAGAGATTAGTATGGGGGAGCACAGACGGGGAGAAAAGAAAAGACTTCCAGACACTCTGGAAATTGGAAAATGGGTCATAAATCTTAGGAGCAAGACCAAGATTGTACATGATAAGAACACTGAAAAGGTAAAAGGTGATCAAGAAGTTAAGGCGATCACTGCTGAGCAAAGAGCAAAGATTTGGATGATAAAGAAGAGACTGAAACACTTAGGCAAGTATAGTCCAAATTCGTACTTTCCAGTGTAATTATTTTTTCAAAAGCAGCAGTTACTTGGTGCAACAGATTTTGAAGGCATCAGGAAATGCATCTGTGGTGTTCGGTAAGATTTGGAGCACAGTCCTCCTCTTTGGATTCTAAGGCAGGTTCGGATTTTTTCTTTTGGTGAGACTTTCACAGTCTCTGATGGGCCTTTTCTCCACCCACAGCTTCATAAAAAGGGAAGGGGCTCAAAGTGAATAGTGCACAAGTATTACTTATGAGCCTGGATGTGAATGTAAAACTCAAGCCAGCCGTTAGTGGGGCTACCATGGGTAGAAAAGACTGTTAGCACTGGTTTTGAATACATTATGGTTTTTCTGATGGGTGGCTTTTTCTCCCTGTGAAATTCTGAATTTTCTTTTATACCTGACATCTTTGTTTGCTTTTGTGTTTTGCTAGCATTGGTATGAAAGCTGGATTGTCCTGAGGTTTGTTCTTCTAGATATGGAACAGGAATGAGACAAACATAAAGAACATGTCTTAGCTTTTAATTAGAGCAGGGTCTCTAGGGCACTGCCAGGAGGTCCAGAGAGAGAGTGTACTTGGGAAGAATTCTGTAGCTCTCAACATTTGCCTGATGGAGGGGTATTAGGACCCTGAGAGAACAGTGCTGAGCTGCGGTGGGGGAGATGATTTTTAATTCTTTACTCTGAAAACCTAGGACTGTAACTGAACCCATCCCGCATGCCTTAGAAAGGCAGCATCTGCCTAATTCTGCTCATGCTCAGCTGCTGCCTCCCGTCTGTGAGCTCATTTCCATCTCTACTGTCCCTGCTTCTGATGAGCTGTTGAGCTGTGTTTGTGTGGCTTGTGAGCTTGTGTGGTGCTTGTGTCTTGGGTCTGTTTTGTGAGGACCAGGTGGAAAGAAAGCTGGACTTGACTCGGGCAGTGACTCTTCAGTCCAGAAGACGGGGAGGCTGTTGAGGTGTGGGTGGGTGGGTGCTGACGTGGGGTGACTGAAAATGCTGTTTTCCACCTTCCTCATAAACACTCAGCCTGTCAGCTGCCCCTCTTCCTTGGGGACATGTAGTAGGACACTGTTGGGAGGGGGGTATTGCTCAAGGGGAGAATACTCCTTCACCGTGTTTGGCTGGGCTGTGTCACTGTAAATACCGGTGAGTGTGGCTTGGCTGTCTAAATGTAATGTACCATCTTAGTTTTAATGCCAAGGTCAGGAGTGAAAGAAGGTGTAGCGGCCTCATTTGGCCAGAGGAAAACAGGATGGGTGCCATGTGGGCTAATGCAGTATCTGCTCCTACTTGCCTACTTATCCCACCTCAGCCTGCTGCCACCCGTTCCCCACCTTCGACTATAGTGCCGAAGGCCAGAAATGTAGGCATGGCTGCTGCTGTGCTGATCCCCAGGTAGGGAAAAAATGTGCGCACAATCTTGTACCCTTCTTTCACTTCCTGAAGGAGCCTGTGTGCTGTGTTACAAACCTCATGGTGCAGGGCTAAAAGTTAGGGGCTTACGTGGATCTCTTAAGTGGTTCCCTAAGAGACATGGCCTTTTAGTGTCTCATTTCTGGGAAATCCTAATGTGTCTTGAGAGTGCTTCTCATTGTTGGGTGTAACCTCTTAGACCATTGAAAAACTTGGCTCTTACCGATCCTTGTGCTAATCTTTAGTGCTCATTACTTAATGGTGCTTTTTATATACATACTACATGTATATAAAATGAAAATTTGATGTAAATGTGTACAAGGTACATTTCTTCCTAAAAGTTTTCTTTTCCTTCTAGTTCTGTGTCCCACCTAAAGCAGCATTACTTCAGGAGCAGCTTTATCTTCTGTGGACTACAAGTTTGATTTCCGATAGTATTATTCTGAAAGCTGGCACCATGTCCTTCCTGCTATTGGAAACCCAGCACACTTGAACTTGGGTTTGTGATTCAGTATTAATAGATCAAGACTTCACTAATTCTTTGTATTATAGAACCAAGAAAACTATGGCAAATTCTAGAGATGGTTTTGGTAAATCTGCTAACAACTGCGAACTGTTCTCCTAGTAGAAATTGTGCATGTGCAGTTTTCAGGTATGCCTCTTGAGTTTTTATGGCTTTCTACTTCTAAATTGCACTGAAAAACTAGCATGAAGCTTTGAGATTTATACTGTAGCTATTCTTCAACGACGGCAAGAACACAGTGAGTTTTATAAGACAACTGTCAGTATAAATATTTCCTAACAGTATTGTCCAGAGACCAAAACTTAAATTTGTACTGTTTTGAAGACACACCACCAGAACGAGCATTACTTTGCTTACTGGAACACTGGTCCTGTTGGATGACTGATCTGGTAGCTTGCTGCTTGTTTCCTCACTATTCACTTTCACCATGTGGTTACCACTGTCACTGCCCGTTAACTTTAGTTGTCTCGGTGTTGTGTGTACTCTACAAGGAGCTTCTATCCTCCGTGGTGCTTAAGAAACTATGCTGCAGCGCTGCCCACGCAGAGCCCCATGCCGGCTGTTTCTTTGTCCCTGTGTACTCCCCCCATTTCCCGTGACTCTGTATCTTATTCTCCCGTGTTTTCCTGTAGAACGAATTCCAGGCACAGCTACTCATGGATATGTCACTCATCGTGAGCCAGGTTGCCAGTTTCAGTCAAGCTGATGGCATTGAATAAATGTAAAAACAATGTACTTTTAAGAGGTTAGTTTCTCTTGTATTTTTTCCCCTTCATGGTACTATCTGTCCTCTATCTGAATACCACCCAGCGTCTGTCACTGAATTGCGCGAGCTGGAAAGGCCCCACTTAGCCCCATGATGCTGAAGAGGAGCGGGGCACAGGCGCTTTTCCAGGTCCTGTGAGCTGCTGTGGAATGACAGATGCCCTGCTTTTCCTGGGGCTGCGAGAGTCCCAAGAGCTACGGCCCCGTCCTGACCGAGGAGTGTAAGGAGTGAACACGGGACCTGCATCAGGGGACTTTTAAACTCCCACCCAAGCCTCTGTGTGCACACAGGCTGTGTAGATCCCTTACCACACTTACTGAGGTGCCTTGGCAGTTTGGAGTTTGATACTTGTGTGGCATTTCAATTCTCTACGGGTTCGTGCAATTTGAAATGGTTTCCTTGTTTCATTAGTGTCTTATTTGATGGTGGATATGTGTAACTTATTTACCACTTCCCGCTGAACTGAGGAAGACGCTTATTTACACACTATTCGTAATTTAAATAAATCTGATCTGAATTTGTAAAAAAATATGTCTTAAAGAAATGTAGCTTTAAAAGATAAACAATATAGAAAAAGTTCTTGGGGATATATTTCTTAGAGGTTCAGCAGTGGTCTGTTCAGCTCATTCTGAAGTTGATGGGTCTGCAGTGTGGGAAAACACAGCGACTTTTTCCTCTCTGCTCCAAGTCCCCTTGTCACTACTGTTCCACTGATTTTGTCTGACAGATGCTTCTTCCGCAGTAAACTGCCGTAGGAGTTCCTGCCACACTCCTTTTCCTGAACATGGTGCGTTAGTTTTGAGACAGGCGATGAATCTAAGTACTTCCCTGTCTCAAAGCGTTCAGGCACCAACACGATGCTACAAATGGAGACGTGCACACCTGATGTCAGGTGACGGGTCACAGTCAGAACACGGTACCCCTAACATGCTGTACGCATTACCATCCGCTGTGTGTAGGCGGTGTGTCTGAAACACGAGCGAATTTGATGTTTCCATTTGAGCCCTACTCCAAGAGATCTCATTATGTATATGCAGAATAATCCCAAACCTAAAGACACCCGATGTCTGGAACACTTAGGCAGAGGAGACCCGACCTGTGAGGGTGAGAGCACTTCTGACTCGTGACCGATGGCAGGCGGGCCTCTGTCTCCCGGAAGGGCAGCACCCTGTGCCACGTACTCGGGCACTGCTCTGACAAGGGCTGCATCTTGGGACACTGGAGGTGTGCTGGACTGAGAATCTCAAAACAAAAGGACCATTATCATTTTACTCCTAGATAAGGGGTCTTTTAGAAAGTTCCATGATGTGATTTTGACTCAAAGTGTTTATTTGCTGCCAAAAACCAAGTAGTAAATCGTCCTGTTACAGCTTTCCTTTTTGAAGAAAACAAACTATAGAACTACGGTGCACTCCAGGTGCCATATATCTATTTTATTCTTCAGGAAATTATATTTGTTTTTCTTTTACAAGAGCACAACAGGAACCAAAGTAAAAGAGTAACAGATACAGCACTCAGGATAAATCATATCTTTAAAATAATAATAGAAAAATTTACACCTTGTCCTATATCCTGTTAGTATTTTCATATGGCCATGATTGAAAAAACAAAAAGCAAGCATTTACAATTTTTTTTTCGATAAAGGCTTTTTATGCCAGGAATGGATTAATTGTCAACAAAATTTTATACTAATCAGACTGAAGTAAATCTATTTTGGTAACATATCATTAACAAATTTATTTTGGAAATAGATAAAAATATTGCCCCTTGATAATAAATCTTTTTGTTCCTTTGATGCAAACAGCTACAATGCCTTTTTCTTTTTTCTTTTTGATATTCTAAGACAAAAAAATGGTTAATCTTCAGATTAATAAATTAGGTCATTATAATAATAAATTAATTTTTTTTAAAGTTCAGCAACCTCTGTCCAAGTATTTACAACAATACTTGAAAGTTCCTTTACAAAACAGAACACATTTTCTTTTCACATTAAGCATACTGGGTATCTGTGTCTTTCACAACAAGCATTTTTAAAAGAAAAATCAATGCACAAATGGGTCATTAGTATAAAAGTGCTAAGAGCTGTTTGAAAAGTTAACACTATAGTATACAGTCAGTTTTATTTGAGGCAAACTACAACAAACTTCCAGCTTATTGTGGACAATATTCCAGTAGTTGTTTCAAACAGTTGTTTGAAAAAATAAATCCAGGAGCTGATTAGTTATGCAGGTAAAAACTGCCATTGATATCTCTGGCCAGTAAGCAAATTGAAAACCAACTGAAAGCAAATCCAAATGAAGAAGACCGTAATAAAGGAATGTCTTCTCCACAGCAGGTGTGATGCTGGCTGCTCAAGGTGCGTGCACACACACACACACACACACACACACACACACACACACACACGCACACACTCACACAAACATCTCCCCAATTAAACTGCAGGTAGAACAAGATTTTGTGTTATTCAAAAAAATCTAAGTGATCAAAAGCACTGATATGGAATGCCTGTTTATCTGCCTTTGTTCTGGTTAAAATCTCAAAAATACATTCAACAGGAAAACAAAATGTATGTGTATAAATATATATGCAATATATATTATATACACATGCACACAAATACTTTTGTTTTTGAAGCATAAGATAGTTACATAAATATTCCTATAATTGCTAAAGTTTAAAGAGGCATAATTTTTTTTGAGCTTCAACAAAGGTGCTTGAATAATATACAATTAAAATGAAGTAGTTTCTATCTTGTAGAATCAGTTTATAGTAAGGAAAAAAAAAAATCCCCAAATAGTCTTTTTTAAAAAAAGTTTCTTCTTAAGCTAGAGCTTCAACAAGAACTATGAACAACCAACAGAACAGAACAAAGCAAAAACGAACTATGAAGTTTAGCCCCTGGAAATGCCTGGTGTCCTTCACCCTCTCCCTCCTTCCTGCCACGTTACTGTAAGAAAAGCTCCAGTGCTCACACCAAGAAATGACTTAGGTCTTGTTCATTCGCTGTCTCTCCTAGGAACTGGCTGGCTGGTTTGGAAGAAAACAAAAGCAGCAAAAAAAAGTGTAACTGTATATATCCTTAATAACCCGCTTTAGAGAAATGTTGCGATCGCATTTCCCTGGCTTCCTCACTGCCTACTGCAGTTGTGACTGTATAGAAAAGAAACTTGTGGCTTTAGACCTGGGATGGCTATTGAAAGTTCTGATGTACTCGTCTGGTAGTTCTAAGGTGGTTATGGCAGCTGGGTCGCAAGGCCTTTTGTTTCCTGCTCATTCAGGTCTGATTTTTGCAGCAATCAGTGCAGTCTTCAGAGCAACAGGAAAAAACTATCCTCGGCCACTGAGCTGCTTCTCTGACTGGATTTCTCCTCGAGCCAAGCTGACCAATTTTTCTTCCTAACACTACCCTCCCACCCATTTTCCCAACCAAACTCACTGTGCCCAACCCCAAGAATCTCTACAGCTATATTACAAGCAAATATACCTTAGCAACTTTAAAAACTTTGGTTCTAAGAAAACACTTGGTCAGTTATCTTGAGGGAAGTGGGAATGCTTGTTCTGCACACTGCTGTAGACAGAGCCTATCCCAGTAAGTTCGTAGCGCTGTACATCAAGTCCCAATCCAATACAATCCACTAAGCAAGTGCACAAATTCTAGTTTACTTGTAAGAGCAGATTTAGTTGTTCTCTGTCCTTTGAAACCTCAGCCATGTCGACTTTCTTCACACAGTTTGGTAGAAGTTGTCTGCCTGTAGATGGTTCTGTTTTTGCATGCTGTAGAAGCCACTGAATCTTGCATCGGGTTCAGCAATTCTTAGCATTCTCTGGGAACCGTCCACCTGCACATGGGTCCCCTTCTTGCAGTCCACAGATACCAGCTGATTATTCAAGGAAGAAGGCTATTTAGTGAGAGGAGGAAAGAACAAAACAAAAGCACACACAGAATTAGTTGTCTTACCTCCCCCAAATGTGCAGATATTTAAGACCTAATCAGGTGAGGTCATGTGGGGTGTCAGGCTCAGTCCTATCCATGCTTTTACTGGTAAAGTGACATAACCACCTTCAAACCCTTGAAGCAAAGGCTTATGTGTAAGCAGCTTGGAAAATTAAAGGAAGTCACCAAACAGGCAGATGTGAAAACAAAGCCGTACTTTGTAAGGCTGAGGTTGTACCACAGCCCCATGCCGGGCCGGCCCTGGTGTGTAGCGCTGCACCTTGGGTTTTTTGTGCATGGGTCTCCTTCCCAGGTCTGAACAGTGACAACTGTATGCTGCTTGGCAATATACAACCCTGTGTGAATTCAGGATAGAGGCTGCACAATCCATGCAAAAAAAAAAGTCCGAAGCAGGAGAACTGACAGAAATTTTATATGTTAAAGTGAACTAGATGGTAAGCTGGGTAAAATATTTATTCAGACTGTTTCTAATTCTGAGTTGTATGACTGTTAAAAATACAAAAGGTGGAATGAGAGTTGGAAGATATGACTTCCCTTAAAATATTTTTTTTCCTTTTAAATAGGCAGATTCAGAGGCCTTTGTATTTGTATTCAAATACGTGCATATTTTTTTTCTCCCTTGCTAAGAAGTCTGCTGCTCTAGCTCTCGTTGTGTTGTCTCTCCCCTCTGACATTGCTACCTGTCTTTTGGACCTTTGTATAGCCTCATTATCTTCAAGCTCTTATTGCCCTTTCTGAGTATTATCTCTCTTCCTTTGTGATTTCTTTTGTCTCCCAATTCTGCATTGATAAATACCTGAGAAATACCAGGTGATCAACTTTTGATTTCTAATGTAAACACTAATCCAGCAATCAACCCACAGGTCTTTGTTCATTTGAAAACTTTAAATTACATCAGAAAGTTGGTCTGAGAGAGAGATCAGGACTCATTAACCAGGGGATGATGGAGAGCACCCAGGGATCAATCCAGTCCTGGCCAAGAACTGTATTTTTGATTGCTATGGCTTGATGTGCATTTGAGGCTGTGAATAGTAGAGTAAAAAATTTCACTGGCTCATATAAAAGGTATTAAACAATTTGAAGGAAATGTAACGGTGTAAGCTTCCCTCATTTCCTCATTCAAGAGACGGTGAGTTTCTCAGGACTACCTTAGTCGGTGTCCGATACCAGCAAAGCAGTGGTATCCACCGTTTCTTCCGATTGATGAACAGGAACACTATGATGATGGAGAGGCATATTATCATGGGAACTACCACCGAGATGACGGAGTCCAGGGAGGAGTCTCTGTTGGGGTGCAGCCTGTTACTGTCTCTGTAATCCACCTGGAGGTGACCCACATCTAGGAGAAAACAAATGCCAACCATTTACTACTTAAACCAGAGTTTTTAAGGATTATTTGAATTACACTACAAATAGAGATCAGCAACCTGGTTTTACTGCTTCCCAGTACTCTGGCTAAACACACGATTAAAGTCTAATGCTGATCCAAAGAGCTTTCAGTAGAGGGTAAAGTTCTTAGGGATGGATGAAAAGAAAAAAACAAATGAGGGTGAGCATGTTAATAATTGGGCAAGATGACAATGGCTCTAGCCCATCAAGAAAATAAAAGTGGCTTCAATCAGTAGTTTAAAAATATTTTGACAATATTACACATTTTGATTACAGTTAACATACATGGTCAAAAATTCTGAAGCAGAAACATTAGCTCCTTGCTTAATGGTAAACACGAGACTAAGACAAAGTATCTTCTAGTTGGTGTAACAGCTGGGATTAATTATACCAAAAATAAAACCAGCATCAGAAGCCGGGGCTTTGGTTTCTTTCTGGTTTGTTTAATTTTAAGCAAAAATGCTGTACTTTCCATAAATTTGTTGAAAAACTCACTAGGTCTATATTTTCCTGCCTTAACTGTACTTGCCCAGGGGACATTTAATTTTGCTCTTATTTATTTATTTATGGTTTTTTTTTGAGACAGGGTTTACTATGTAGTTGAGACTGACCCACAACTCACTATGTAGCCCAGGCTGGTCTCAAACTCACTGCGATCCTCCTGCCTCAGCCTCCCAAGTGCTGGGATTATAGGCGTGTGCATCACTTCTGGCCTAATTTTGCTCTTATGAATGAAAATCTATTTTAAACACCACTGTTACAACGAATATTGTAGATTGGGTTAAGGTCAAAGGGCATTTCATCAAGTTTCTCTATTTTTACTTTTGTTTCCAAACAACCATTGCAGTCAGGTTCTGTAAGTGTCATAGACCAGTTCAGTGAAAGATACAGGGCACAGATGATCCAAGAATTACTCTTCCATAGCTCTGGAGGTGCTGTTCATGGAATAGTGTGGGTTGGGTGGGAAGGTGGGAAGAGAATTTGCCTACTCATTTGAGCCAGTGGGGATGTTAATACTTTCTAGGAAGGGGAGAAAAGAAACATTTACCAGCATTAAGAGAAATCTCAGATAAAAGCAACACTGTATTGAATTCAGGTTTTAAATAAAAAGCAAACAAAAGAATGAATCTTGAAGTCATTACAGGGAATGGTTTTAGGAAAATGTCTTATGGCAAGATTAAAAAGTAAATTAAGAAAAATTTTGGTGAAAGGAAAATTAAGCTGAAACTGAGGTTTCCGTATAAAACTCAGTCTTTCTGTTCTGTTTTGATGCTAAAAGCAAGTGAACTTTCCAGCAGCCAAAGCAGAAAATGAAGACTGGTATCATCAGTAGGAGTCACAACCTCAGTTATGTGGGAGTAGCATATACTGACATGTAAGGAAACTTCTCTTCAAGAACTTTTAACAGGGACACTGCACACAACTGTTCAACGCACCACACTAGGTAGGGTGATTTCTATGACCAAAGCCAGCACCTGCCACAGAGCGGGGGGCGCCCAGAAGGCCTTGATGTTTACTGACTGATTCTAAGCATAATGTTGGACACACAGTTGGACAGAGCAATTAATTATATACAAGGAGACCAAACCTGGGGTCCAGGAATTTGGCTCCTGGTCATCTAGCATGATCCAAGCGTGACATTTAAAGTATCTAAAATAAGACTGTTTATCTCTCCAGCAATGAGTACTGCTCCTCCCAAAAGAAAAAATATAAAAACTGTACAGGAATCATTCTGCAAATGAATATGGTGTCGACAGGAGGCAGTGTTGAGCCATGACTCTGAGCAAGTTGGTACTAGTGTTCTTGTAGAGAAGGCAGTATTGTAAGGAACTCGCTTACTACTGAGCTATGAAGAAACAAACCTCTTTATTATACACAACTGAAGGACCGAACAAGAAAAAAAGTCATGGACTAAACCTGGTGACTGGAAAATTCAACACATGTAATAAATTGAACTCTTAGAGTGAGAACCACCCAGAAGGAGAGGGCGATCTAAGGCATTCGTGCTTAGTACAGAACCCACAGGGACAGTGAATAATTCACTATTACGCTGCTTACAAAGTTTATTCACACAGATTTTTGAGAGATGGTGTAGAAATTCCATACCAACCACTTATGACTACGAACATATTTCTTTCCATCATCACCCCGTCTCTGAGCATGTACAGCCAGGAAGTTTATCCAATTACTTGCTGAGACTTACTTTATCAGTGTTTGGTATTTAATATGTCCCAGCCAAGCAAGTCTTCCCTATACTAATTATTTGAACTTACTTGGGCAAGTCATTTAAAATACTCACAGGAAACTTTAAAAAGGAAAAAAAAATACAAAGTAGCCCGCAGAGAAGAGGTAGACAAATCTCCAGTGACTCCGACGCTTACCTCTAGGGAGATGAATGATGTCATTTTCACTAGGTGTGGGCCACGCAGGGACTTCCAGGTCAATCTCTCCATGATAGTTTTTCTTCTCAATGGGTATGTTAGTTGGTTCTGGGGCGTACATTTCTAAAAGAAGGAGGCAGTTTTCTTAAGAGATGATGGAGAAGCCACCTTTCTGTTGGCTTTCATCTCAGCAATCCAAATGGAACCTCTGATGTAATACTGTGGGTCCCCGGACACCGGAGGTTCAGTTTCTGTGTTTACATTATTAATGCATTCACCAACTCTGCAGCGTGGTAAGCATTTCTCACAGCAATGAAAAGAACAAGAAGTTTCCTACCCACCAGGTTTCTTCATGTCAAGCGGTGGCTCTCTAGTTTGTATAAACCAGTAAGGACCGACTAAACCGGCATACTTTACTTTGGGGCAGCTGAATGCTGTACTTTAATAGCTGTGGCTCTTTAACCCATAATGCTCACTTACATAAAATGTCAGTGGAATTGGACACAGTCACAGGTGGAGGCAGACCTGGAAAGCGGCCTGTGCCACACTGCATGTGTCTGTGATGGCGCCAGTGAAGCCTTGGTGGGAAATTCATCTGCAGTCACGGGGTCAGCACTATCTGGTTGGACTGCACAGGCGTCTTGATGAAGACAACACTACAAGGACCCCAGTTCGATCCCCGGTACCAAAAAAAAAGACAACACTATATGGTGAAATAAAACTGACTAAGGAGAATATTCTTTATCCTTACGATTTTTGGAAGCCAAGTTCTGAAAGGCATTAGAGAAGAAAATTCAGAGGTTTTCTCAGTACATTTCATACCTGTACTTCACCTGGCTGACAACTAGCCCGGCAGTTTAATGAAAAGAATTCTTAACCTGTATTACTTTCAGAATGTCACAATAAAAGTCTGCAACACTCATGTTCTTTCTTTTGATCACATCTGTTCCATATTAAGTGACTGTTATACACATGTTAGTCAGCATTGATAACCCTAAATACAATAACCTAAAGATCAAAATAAAATAGAGAATATAAATTAAACAGGATTAATAATCCTATTTGATTGTTTTGTCATAAAACCGAAAGATTTTGTCAGGCTTTCAACAAAGTAATAGAGGAGAGAGTACCTGCTAAGCTTCCAGTGTGAGTCAGCAAAGCACTCAGCCAGGGAAGTAAACTAGAGAGGTTAAGGAAAATCACTAGTAAGTGGGGAGCCAGGATTCCAATGTACAGCATTCCAGAGTTCTGGGATTCCAAAGCTCAGGGTTTTTTACTTCACCCAAGTACAAAGCCACTTTAGCCGTAATCTTCTAATCTTCTACTTACAAGGCCTTTAGGCTTAGAAGGCCTCTTTAGTTTCCAAAGGTTCAGTGGGCCCCTGAAAACTCCAGAATTAGAAATAGGCTGTAGTGAAAACATGTGCAGAAACAGGACTGAATACAAATGAATGATTCTCAAGAAGCCAGGTGTGGTGGTGCACACCTGTAATCCCAGCAATTGGGAGGCTGAGGCAGGAGGATCGCTTAGAGTTTGAGGCGAGCCTGGGCTACATAGTGAATTCAAGGCCAACCTGAACTATGTAACGAAGTCCTGTATCACGTGATTCTGTATCAGAATGATCCAAACACCTTTATAAACTGTACTGGCTCTCGTAGGTCCTTATCTGGTAGGTCTGGGAGGTACGAGTGTGTAGAGTGTGTGTAGAGGGACAGTACTCTGTCCACCCACTAACAGGTGTGTGGCATGAATCTTCCCAATGAATCTGGGGGGAAAACATTCGTGTGGAATCTTTCAGTGTGCAGCGTCCTTTCGCCCCTTCCCTGCCCTGTCTATGACAGACAGCAGCGCCAACACGTGGCTGGCTCCAGGCCTCCCCATGAGAGGGGAACGGGCGGTCTGTTCCACTAAACCTGTGGCTGCTGACAGCCACGCCAAGGCTCCAAAGCTGGGCTTGTCTGGGGTGTGGTAGTGGAGAAGCAGCGCTGACATTCTCAGGCCTGGAACAGTCCTCCCTAGAGCCAAGTTTCTGGGAGAACTATGCCAACAACAGACACTATCGGCTAAGTTCTCTTCCTGTGGGGGCTTAGCAAGGCTCGGTCTGAGGCAGAGGCAGGGACATTAGGAGGTCAGGTCCAGGTCGGAGAAAGTCTACACCTGCTTCCCGAGCACGTCCTCTGTGGTGGGCGCTGGGCTAGACGCTGCGGAGACAGCTCTGAGCAGCACCGATCCTTGCTGAGCCCAGGACCTCCCCTGATGACCACTCAGAAGCTCCTGCCCGTCCTTTGGGTCAGCTTGTTCCCCTAAACTCAGTTCAGCTCTGAGTAAAACCCCCCACACCTGCTTTCTCATAAAATACAGCTCCACACAAGGGTGGGTGTCCATTCCTATTTGAACTTAAGAGAGAAACTGTCTCTGAGCAGTTTTGCGGAGAGGGAGAGAGGGAGAGAGGAGAGAGAGGGAGAGGGAGAGAGGGAGAGAGGAGAGAGAGGGAGAGGGAATAGGAGGGAGGAAGGGAGAGAGAGGGAGAGGGAGGGAAGAGGGAGAGAGAACATCCGTCAGCAAAAAGATGCTTAGAGAAACCAAGAGGAGGAGAAATGCTATTGGTTTCCATGCCTGGATCCAGGCCTTGTAAGGCCAAACACTGCATTCAAACCCAGACTCTAAAATACAGTCCCTTCGTTAGAGAGCCCCTCTTCCTGTGCCTACTGCAGAGGGACAGCCCGGAGCCGGGCACAGAAGCCCTCCTCCCTCCACGGCACCGGGACTGCTCCTGTAGTTCTCGCTGACAGGAATTTCAGAGGCACTGAAGACAACGTAATTGGTGAAATGTTTTATTTTCAGAGCCATCTGGTCATTTTTAGAGTGCGCTTCCATAAACTGTCCTTTTCTGGGATGTGGGGCAGACTGCTGGAGGCTCATAAGCTGAGGGCACCGCTGTTTTTGGGTGGAGGCTTCCTGAAGTGACAGGGCCAATTGTCCCAGACCTAAGCAGCTGCACCTAACTTTCCCTAACTTACCTCCTCCTGTAAAAGGGAGCAAGGACTAACCACCCCCCTGGCTCACAGGCTTGGTGCTCATACCCAAAGACGGCAAAAGGGAAACTGGCACCCGAACACCTGCTGTCCCGCTGGCCCGAGAGACCGGAGAGTGCCGCTACCGTCACGTCCTCCTCACAGCACCTGTGGGGGGCATGCGCTATCCAGATGAGAAGTGGGTGGGTCTAAAACTGGGAGAACCTTTGCCCAAGGCCACACAGTGAGCTGTCAGGGCACGAGACCAGAACCCATCTGCCTTCATCAACACAGCGTGGCCCAAACGTGACGGCCAAATCTGCTGAGAGTTAAGATGGAGGAGTGAGTCATCCGCAGCGCAGCAGAAAGGAGAGTTAAACAACAGCAATTAAGTTCCAGGCCAGCACTGACTCTGAGAAGTCACTGGAGAAATCTTGAGTGATGAACAAGGATGTTAGCAGTATCTGTCTTCACATTAAACACACAAACCAAGGACACTGAAACTTTACTCCTACACCAGCCTGAATCTGGGTCCTTGGCCCACTCCTGCAACATCCGCTGTCCATGTCACAGCCGTCCTGGCTTCTTATACCTTAGTCCCTCCTGAACAACACCCTGCCAGTCTTCCCCCAAACACCTGCTCAAAAAGGGGCCTCCCACTCCTACCAAGGACAAAATATAATTCTTCATCTGATAGAGCATTAATAACATTGACCAGTGCTGATTATTTTTGTCCTTACTTCAGCTATTAGAATTTACATCTCCCGAGGCAATGGCTGTGACTTCTCCCATCTCGAGATCTTTAGTCAGACTGCCTTCTTCACTCCGACAAAGAGTGCACGTATCTTTTAAGATCCAGTGCAGATCCTTTCTCTATGAAACCCTGCAAGGTCACTCTCCCCTGGAGTAAAATCTGTGCATGAATTTGGCATTCATGGTCTGTATCAGAGCTGTCTAACCGTTATCTTTAGTTTCCTGCTCCCATCCGCTTTGGAATGCTGCCAACACTTGTCAAGATGATCAGGGCAAACTGCTTTTGCTCTAACTTTCAGAGAGTGGGCAGGTGAGGAGGGTCTGGCAAAAGGACACTGAGAAGGAGCACTGGGGACAAGGGAGGAACACCAGAGAGTTCAGTGATTTGGAGGCCAAGTGGAGAAAGGGTTTCAGGTACGAAGAAGCAAACAGCTGCACCAGGAGTTGCTATTATCTAAGTCCAGACAGGAAGTGGGGACTGACTGTTTTGCATTTAACATCGTTCTTTTTAGGGGCTAAATGGATATTTTCAGAACTGCTCAAACAGGGCCAGTCTGTACAGTATCTAAATACGAGGCCAACATGGGCACTGTTCAGCTAACGCTCTGGGTTTTACAACTGTACAGCCTGAAATGTGCTTCTAAATTGGCAGAAATCCTGGGTTACCATTCTGAGTAGAGTGAGACTCTCTAACAATGCTGCCAGACAGAACTGAGGTGAAGATGGAAAGGTTCCTGACACACCGGGGCCCTCCGTCCATGGGAGCCAAGCCTGGGCCCTCGCTCCTTTTTGTCTGGGCCGTCAGGCTGCGTAGGAAGTCTGTGTGTTTAGGGGAGCAGCTTAGGAACTCCGTTCAGAGTTTGCCCCAGGGAGGGCTCAAGTGCTCCATTGCTGGGATTAGGAGCGGGACTATTTCAGAAACCAGGACAAGGCCTGGGTGAGGATCTGGGCAGTTGTGGGGGCCTCAGGTAAAACTAAGAGACTGAATGATGCTGAGGAGATGAACAGTGGGATTTGGGGAGAAATGCAAGCACGGGGTCCAGGACAGCCAGTGAGGGGAGTTCTCGTGGGAAGAGGTGAAAAGGGCACCTGAAGACCTGGGACAAGGCTGCATGTGATGGTAGCAGTAAAGGCTGGACATGAAGAACTGACAAAAGAATGAACCAGAACTGTGTTCTTTGAATGCTAGTCGCCCGTGTAGGCTCTGATAAACATTCGCGTTGCAACAGCTCTCAAGCATATTCCCCTGTGTCTGAGCTTGAGTCTTTCTAACAAGGCTGGTCTGGCACAGCACTAAAACTGCTACTCAGACAGGGCAGGTGTCATTAACAGTTTAGCTATACCTGTACGGCTTTACTGCCAGGAAACATTAGGGGATGCAAGTCACAAGAACCACAGCAATTCTGACCTGGAACCCAAATGAGCCCTCGCCTGGGCAGTCAGTGACCCCGGGTGTCTGCGTGGAACGATTTTAGCTGGGCCTCCACTCTGGGCGAGCAGATTCTGGGTCCGAAGTCAGAATTACAGCCTGGCAATGGAAGGGTGGCGGCCGAAGTACCTGGACACATCGGGCAGCAACTCCCTTCCACGTTGATGGGCTCCACGCAGGGCAGAGGGGGGCAGCTGACGGTCGAGCAGAGGGTCTGGCCTTGCAGGCAGTAGCAGTGTGTGCAGCTGTCAATGTCCCACCGCTCCTCGTCGGCGTAGGCCTTCCCGCCAAAGTGACACACCGCCTTCTTTGGAACTGTGTCCTCTAGTGAAAAGAACAGCACATGGGGAGTTCCCTGAGGTGACAGCACACAGCGACAGCTCTGTGCCACCATACTGTGCTTTAAGATCGCCAGGATTCAGTGAATCATCTGTTCCCTCAGTTCCTTGCTGTCATTTCTCCTCCGAGGCCTTCAGAACCTGAAGTACAGAACCTGTGGCCTGAACCCGAGTAAAGGCCACACAGGCTAACCCAGGGTGGTAACTGGAATGGCCAGCTGGGCCACCCATGAGAGCTGAAGTGTCATTGGATTGTCACCTATAGAGATACACAGATACTGAGAAAAGATCCAGTGACGTGTATTTCGGCCAGAGATGGACTCAAGAAAGCCCCGATTTTAGTTAAAGTCTTAAAAAAAAAATAATGCGAGGAAACAGAACATTGTACAGAAGCGGTGGGTTTCCTCTGCCACCCTACAAGGGGAGTTAGTGCTGGGATAACCGTTTCCTACAGCTTTTAGAGATGCTGTATGGATTTCTCTCTCACCAACAAAAACATTTCCACTTCAGAAACAAGTTTATTTTATCTCAGTCCAGTTTTTTGAGGGCAAGCTATGGTTCTTGGGAACAAAATGTTTTTAAAAAGGAATTTTGACGTATAATACAGGAATTTATAGCCAAAACATTCTTTCCTCCCTCCCCTTTGCCATGCTTAATTCTGCTCTCAACCAACCTTTTCCTTGAAAGTTCCTTTCTCTTATTAACTTATTTACAGCTACCTCCTTTCCCTCCACAGCTCAACAATGGTGGTTCTGAGTGAGTCCAAGTGACCCCCAGTGACCCATGTGACCAGAAGCCAGGCAGAGATGGGGCAAATCCATGGAGAAACATGAGCACTTCCTGTCACAGGCAGGCCAGTAACTAGACGACTGCTACTACTCTGGGGACACTTTATGTTCAGACTCCAAAGGCAGCTTCACTCACCACTGGTCACTAGTAAATGAACAACTACGCAGGAATCTGAAAGGAAAGCTCCTTAGGAAAGGAGTTGTCGCCAGGACCTTGCACTCTTCCTTCCGGGAAGGCAACTGGGAAATTCTTCACAGGGGAAAAACCCACTGAACAGACACAGAGTACAGCACCCAAGACGTCTGAGCACAGGAGGTGACTTACATCAAGAGTTAAAATGTGTAGCCTCTGTGTTTTTCAACACTTTCCTGTGTTTCTCCTCCTGCTGCTTAAGGCTCAACAGGGAATACTGAGAAATTACGGCAAGTCCTAGTTATTATCAGAACTTTTCAGTGTCTATTAATATCTGTTTAAAAAGGACTTCACCGTGTTTGTACATGTTCCAAGGAAATATTCTGGTACACTATTAGGTTAAAACCAACTTTGGAGGCCTTCAAACCAAACCCATGACTCAAGTTTGCGCTAATGTCCCTGCCAAACAGGCCAAGCAGAGCCTAATTCAAGTAGAATTCTGACCTCCAGTCAACATTTCACCAAAGACACTGGTTTTGGCCATCAAATCTAGAACCTATGAGGTAGCAGGGAGTGTTCCTTTATAAAGCAATATTGCCGATTATATTTTACATAAATGGCTCATGTTGGACCAACTTCACTGACTGGGACCAACCCTGTCACTGTGAGAGGAAATTACAAAAGAGAAGGTGAAATTCCTCGCCACATCTTGTCTGTCACTCTTGGTCTCTTTCCTCTATGACCTCTTTCATCAGAGCTGCTCTTGGGAGAGAAAGTGAAGGAGGGACAGACACAAAGCTGAGGACTCTGCTAAAAGGGGTTTGACTCAAGACCAACAACTGGTCTGTATTTTCTTAAGATCTTCGCAAGATATTTAATGCTACTAATGTTTAAAAGGTCAAAATTATCTTTTAAAATTAGGTTAAGATGTTAGAAAGACCAAGACCTGGCATGTAAAGGTACAAGATCCCAGTAATGAATGTAACTGTACTGTCTACCTAGAATGTACCAATAAATTAAATAAAAAAAAAAAGATGTTAGAAAGAGTAATTATGTGCTAAACATCAGAATGGCATTTGCACATCTTACAAAATCGATGCTAAAGAAGGCAATCCTTGGCTCAGAGGCCAACACAGCAGTGGTGGAGACAGGTCTGGAGGTTCCTGAAAACACAGCCAGACAACACAAAGGGCCAAACAACGAACTCTGCTATGGAACTCAGAAATCTCTTCCCAGGATTCGATGCTTTGGTTTACCTTGAGGAATGAACAGGAGAATATGAAGGAGGTAGAGGAAGGTACACAAAGTAGGTGGTGTGCATACGAGTTTGGCCTGTTGGAGGTACAGTGGTAAGTGTCGTGGTGTATTAAAATGTGTGAGTGCATCTGTACATGGACTTAGTAAAGGGTCTTCAATAAGAACTGAAAAAATTCTTATCTCTTCCTATGGAGGAGAGAGGGACCTGATTAACTTACTTTTTCCGAAGAGAACTCTGGAATATGACAACACGGAAGTCCTAATGGTTAGGTCAAATTCGGATACTAATGTTAAAGGGATGTGATATGGGCCTATGTCAGCGCAGAGGTGGTAGAGATGGAAAGGCCGGGTTAGACCTGAGAGCTGTTTCTGAGAACTGTCAGGCCACACATGGGGAGGAGGGAGGCATGAAAGATGACACTGTCTCTTGCATGGGAGGCCAGGCAGAGGTAATTCCAGTATCAGAGTCATTTTCCTGCTTTAAGTAAACAGTTGGTGACCTTGTCTGGGGCCTGGCAAGGCCTCATCAAATTGTTCAGTTGTCCCAGTGGATCAACCAGAACTGTAGCAGATGACCTGCAAACTCTTAGCTTCCCTGTGTGAATATGGCCAGAAAGCTGTCACAAAGGGAGAACAGATTTGAGGCATGTCAGGGTAAAAGAGGGCAAATTTCAGCCAGTCATTGGAAGGCACAGGCAGGAAAAGCCTGCTAAGAGTGTGTGGGGCAGTAGGCAGAGCTGCTATGTTAAACCCTTCATGTGGCTTTAAAGTGTGTACATTTCCTCTAGCAATAATTCTACTTGTAGTAATCTAGAAAAAAACAAGAAAATGCCTGAAAGAGAAGTTTTTTATGGAGATGTTTATAATAGCAAGAAATTAAACACCAACAATAAGGGAATACTTACATGACTTATGACATAACTGACTGAAAGAATACTGTGTTGTTATGTGTAGTCTAAACTCAACCCTGTAAGGAGAACAACTAAAAACTCTAGAAAGGAAGCAAAATCTTAACAGTGATTATTAGACGATTGAATTTTTAGCAACAAAACAAGCTACTCTTGATAGTAAGTCAAAAATATATAAAGCAGAAATCTCACACATGGACACACTCATACGCAATACTCTTCTCCCACCACCCTGGCTACCCACAAATGCGAAAACAGGGAAGGGAAAATCGTGGACTTAAGTTTGATTCTAAGGATCCTGTACATGCAATGTGGTGCTTCTTGAATGATGCCGACCCATTTAGAAGAATTTCAAGATTGCAAGAAAATTAAACCACACAAGCAGTGCTGAAGATCAAATGCTGAGCTTCAGCCTAACACAAGCGTCTATGTAAACACTCATTTGGTATTTGTATGAGGTCCCTGTCTAAAGGCGTATTTATAAAATGATACGAGAAAGAACAATTACTCTGGATGCTTTGGAGGTGAGGGGCTGAAAGAACGTTTGACCACATAGTAGATAAAATTAACATTTCTCATTCTGTCATCAAGATAATTCCTTACTAAATCCCATGAAGGTTAAATATTCAAAGTGGCAGAGTGATGACCATGAATGTAGTGGAACCTGTTACTTTGCGGGGCTCCCACAGGGAGCCTCATGGTACACAGCTGCTCAGAGGAAGGTTCCTGGAGCTGTCAGGACCCTACAGAGCTGAGTGAAACTACTTCCTCGCAAGGGGTGGGCTGACTGCCAAGGACCTGGTTTCTAAGTATTTGTCTGTTTCCCTCAAGCTGTACTTGTCACTGATTAACTTGGAAGCATCTCACCTTCAACTTGAGTTCATCTGCAACTGTTAATTCAAACTTGATGTTGGGACGTTATCTTACTGGGTTTGAAACTTAGGGGGTGTCAGATGGACAGAGGACAGAAATCAATGCCAACCTACTGCCAGCAGGCAGCACTGGCAGGATTCTTTTCATGTTGGCTCCAGTGTGGCTGGGGCTCTCTAGAAAAAATTTTGGCCAACCAAAACATTCCCAATCCATGGAAGGCTGAGCTAGTATCAGTGCCCAATGCAGGAAGAGGCAATGTTAGCAGTGGTTGTATGACACTGAGGTGGCAGGGACCCCAAATGCACTCCTAATCCATGATGAGCCCTGTTTCAGCGGCTGCCACAGAAAAATGCTTGATGTCACATTTAATCAGTTTGAATCAATAACAAATTTTATAACTGCAAGTGCTTTTTCACACGTGATATAAAACCAACTCACAGTTGTCCCTGAGATATGTAGCATGGGTTGGTCACTGCTCTACTCAATTTTTGTATGAATGGAGGACTCTTTCAGGTTTTTTTTTGTTTGTTTGTCTTTTTTTTTTTAAAGCCCAAGGTAATCTTTAGCAAGGTGCCTGCCACTTGGTCAAGATTAGATTAGATTTTAGTTAATAAGCCTTCAAAGAAATATTCTGCTTTTGAGTAAAAGGCCAATGACCTAAACAAAGAAAGGCCTGAAAGGGCAAATTTTGGCTCACAGCCAGCCTTGGTGTGCCCATGTCTAACATGCTCGTACCTCTCCTAGGTACACTGGCTTCTTCCAGGAAATTTCTGGGTTAATCTAAGGAAGATCTGCTGGAAGGCTTGAGAGACTTTGAGAAACAGAGGGACACAAGGACAGGACTTAAGCAGCCTGAAGTTCTAAGAGACAGACTAATAAAATTACTGCCATCTTTTGGGGGAACAGCATAAGTCTAATCAAGAATACATTACAATACAAGTTTTTTAAATACTCAGCCTAAAAAGGAATGCAGAAAAAGTCTGGAATAAGATTAAGAATAATCTTACACAAGTATGTGGCCATCAAC